TGGCGCGAAGATGGCCCTGCTACTGGCCAAGGCCGAGCCCATCAGCGACAGTGGCAGTGCCTCTGGAATAACATTTAAGATGGGGGGGGAAAAATGGAGAGAGAGAAATTGGAGAGGAGTGAGAACATGTGAGAGAAACAGCTCTGCAGGCACCAAGTCCATGGAGAAGGAGGTGCTCCAGATGCTTCCGTTTCAGAGGACAACCTGATCAAACTGATTTGCCTTTATACAGTGCAGTGAAGGAGCCTGAGCAATCATCTGAACTTCAGTTTCTTTTTGGGACCCTGACTGTTACGGAGCTTGCTGCTAGCAGTACCCGGTCAGAAACTAGGTATTTGAGATAATTATAGCTCACTTGCAGTCTTTTACAAATGAACCCCCTTCAGCTGCAGGATTTATTGTGGTCCAAAATTAAAAATAATTGAAAAATACTGCATTTCATTTCTCCTGAGAAATCTACTGTGCAAATGAAAATTCTCTTTCTGTCAATATAATTTTTTATATGATTGAATACCACTCTGATGTTCAAGCAGAAGCAGCTGTGAAACTTAGATCCCTGTAGTATCTGCCTTGAAAAGCTGGTAGAAGGTCTGTCTTTAGTGGTGGTCTTTTCTGCAGGGTGATGGCTACAAAAATAAAAAAAATAACCTGTTGCTGCCTCCCAGGCAACCAGTTCATACAGTACTGAAAGTAGTTAAGTGTTGGGATGCTGTTTGTTCAGTACTGGGAAGACTGGTACTGGCTTTTCAGACGGGGTCTTCAGCCCCCTCTTTGTGTGGTGCATTACTTGTGATACTCTTACTCCTGACATGACTGGGTGTTTTCTCTAGTTCATTCTTAATGACTAATTATAGTGGCTGAGTTAATGGCTCAGCTGCTCTCTGGTTTCCTTTAATTAGCTTCCAAGTAAAAATTTCACTAAATTTCACCAAAACTCCTTCAGCTATAGGGCATAATTCTATTTATAAATGACCCACAGCACCGTTCAGGAGTTGTCTTTCAAGAGCCTTTATGTTTTAAGTAAGTAATTAGGTTTAGTATTATAGCTCAAAATGATGCGCTGAGTACCAATGTGGTATTTCCTTCAGTAACACATTCTTTTGTCTGTGTGAACAGCCTCTTGATCTCTAGTGCTTCATTAGCTATCAAAGCATACTTTGAGATCTGCTTTAAGCTCAGGATCACCTTTTCCCCAAGGTGCCCTACATGGCTGTCTCAGCTGTCTTAGGGTGCCGCAGGGGAGGTCTGTGACAGTCCCTTACCAGAGACGTCCAAGAAGGTAAGAAGACATGTCAGTTGGCCTCAGTGGGATTTGAATATTTGTACTGTAGGTGTGAAGTGCAAAATGAAAATTATTAACAATCTATGAAGGATTTTAAGTGTATGTCCTGAGTGCGCAGCAGGTAAGGCATCACTATCTGTAGTAACAGCAGCAATTCGGTATTGTTTCACCTTATGACAGCTTAGGAGGCTGTTGAAAGGGATCTGAAACGTGTTTTTTGAAAACAGTGATCTCGCTATATTTTTTATTAAAAGTACTAAGAAATACCAAGTTAACATTCTACCCCTCAGACTCACTTTTTTTTTCCAGCCAAGGTGTGTCTTACCAGGCTAAACTAGGAATGTGTGCTATTAATTCTTCTTCAACTGTTTTTTTTTAATTATTATTCCTAGTTGCTTCAAAAAGATGGTGTAAAGTTCTACTAGGCAGCATCCTCTATGACTTTTTGCCCAGCACTGTTTACTCTACGTGGCATCAGCTTCCCTCAAACTGAATAACCCGAGGCCTTCAGTTTCTGCTCAAATGTCTTAAATAGCAGATTATAAGGAAAAATTATCATTGCCCCGAGGTGGTTAGGCAGACTATCCAAAGTACGTGGAAGCACCTAGTATGTTATTTCCTTACCCTGTTGGTACCAAAATCGGATTTTCCCCCCGTCTCATGTGCCAAGATTTGTCACACCCAAGTTAGGCACCAGAGAAGGCTCACTGAATTCCATCATTGTTTTTTCCAGTAGATAGGCAAATGAACTGTAAACTGTCTTGATGCAGGAAAAGCTACTTTGTTCTGAGAAAAAGCGTAGAGAGAAAAATGAGATCCCTTGAAAAATTGTGCTGGATACTTAGGAGAACTGAAATTTGACAGTAAAATGGCCTTCCTTTCGTGAATCTCCATTTTCTTCTCTTCCTGTGAAATTGCTGCTACGCTTGAAACTGTACACCTCACATGTACAGCCTTCTGCACTTTATCTGTTCTCTGAAAATCTGGTGAAGTCTGGGAGCTGGAAAGATCTTATTATTTGCTGCAGATATGGGTGTCTGTGAGTTAGTGTGTACCTAGGGTTGAGCATGATATCCTTGTGATACTGGCATAATACCACGTGATGAATTGTCCTTTTTTTTTTTTCCCAGTGTGTTTTTGTAAATGTAGAAATTGCATGTACAATGTGTATGCTCAGCATGGCCGAGAAGAATCCTGTAGGAAAGCCTGAATTTGGTATTTCTAACTTTTAAGAGCCTGTCTTTTTGACCTTAATAACGTTACTTCATAATCTTTCACAATGTATGGTTAAAACATAAAAAATGTTAATGATAAGAGCGTGTATATAGAATAGTTTTCTGATTGTAGGCAGTACTGATTGAGAGCGATAATTCCAGTGTTGGTTTTTTTTCCCCACAGATCTTAGTTTTCAAGCAGCTGCTCAAATTATGTCTGCCCCTGTTTACGATGCCTTAAAAGTAATGAAAGACCTAGCTCAGAACTTCCCAATAAGAGCCAGGTATGATACTTAAGCTTGTTTCTCAAATACTGTTTTTATGTTTGCATTTGAATTTAATGACAGTAATACAGATTCATATCCCAATGCTTCAGCTGGATGTTCATGTCTTACAGCTTGCTAGGTGGATTCCAGGCAATTTCATTTAGTAGAAAATGGAGGGCTCGTGGTCAGTCTCTTAAATGTTTCCTGACTCATGCAGGAGATGCCATGAAGGCATTCTAATCCTTCAGGCACATATGGCTGAATGTCTAGTCCTAACGGCCTTACTGGAGCGATATTTTCCCACATGTAAAATTCTGTTGAATTAGTGGCAGATCTGCTTTCAATAGGAAGAGGCAAAATTCTATTAATAAATTTTGTAGGGGATCCACTCAAATTTGTTCTAAGCACAACATTGTTGACAAGATTGGGCCCTGGCTAATGTATGTTAGTGTTCTCACTGGGGAAGATCTGTCTCCCATAACAGATTACTTAATAAAAGATCAAGATAAATATTAAATACATTAATAACATTTTGTTCTGTACTAATATTAAAAATTGCTCTTCCTGTTAGCCAATTGTATTGTAATTGAGAAATGATTTTCTTTATATTTAATAAGTTATTCATGTAATCCTATCAGCAATACTTGCTTGAATTACTGAATTAAATATGATGCTAAATAGGATTCTTAACTCAGTCTGCTTTCACATTTTACAACTCTTGTTTAATTATCACAGTGTTTCATTGTCTCTGATTTTCTATTCAAGAAAATCTATACTGCAGTGGAAAAACTACCTTTGTAACATCTTGTTTCAAGGAAGAAAAATAACTATTTTTAATGCCTTAAACGTACTGTAATGAAATAATAAAGTTCAAATTTATACTTGGATTAGCAGTCAGGAAATGCAGCTTTCCATTAGAAGACAGTGGAAATGTACAAAACGTTGAACTGGAAGGCCAGCTCTGTTCTTTAAAGGACAGGAGAAAGTCAGTTTGAGGTATGCTAGGTGACATTTAAACCCTTGATTTAAAAAGTCATTAAATTGTTACATCCCACTGCGACTCCCACCATGTATTTGTAGCATTTACATACTCTTCACACATTTTTATGGCTAAAAGTATATGAAGATTTTAGACTTATTAAAAGGGGAATTGCAGTTCTGGTCCTGTATAATTTATTCTAATATGCTAATCCAGCATGTTATTTTTGACATGAGAGATTACAAATATATAAATTATTTAAAGTTAGTAGCTCTGCATTGACAACAAACTTAAATCAAAGGAGCATTATGTGAAAACAATGCACAAAATATATTCATTAATAATCTAATCATGCTTAACCTGCCGAGTCAAAAATAGTAGTCTGGAAAAAAAACCTTGAAGGAACAGGAAATTAAAAGATACTGCTTAATCACTTTAGACAGATAACTGATCGTTATAATAGTAGTATTTTAAGATTGTTTCAAACTCACACAGTTTAGAGATTAAAGCAGCTATTCTTTAATTATGCAAATTTTGTTTTGAAAAGGCTGTATAAAAATTTTAGAACTATAGTTATGGAAATAAATATTAAATATTACATGATCCCAAAAAATGGAGGGGTCCGTTAGACCATGAAAAATGAATATACCATTCTTCTGGAAGTTTATTTCACGTTCTAGTTTATAAACTGCATTTTTTTGTCTCAGTATTTCCAGCTGTAAAGGTTAGTCTGAGGTAGCTTTTACAAAATGTCACTAGATGTAGACCGTAACAACTTATATATGTCATGGTGACATTTTGATAATTCATTTTACTGGGTATTTTTCATCTTTGTTTTATATTTGTCATAATTATCTATTATTTAAGAACGCAGTAGTAAGAATTATAATACTCTGTTTCTTGCTATTCATTAATCATTCTATGAATGTTAACAATATAAACATGCGAAAAGTTTCCTTTTTCCCCCCCGATACGCAGTACTACGTAGCTACACATTCTTCCAGTTAAGAATAAAGATGCATAAAGATATTTGATAGACAATATTATGACCTTAAGGTCATACAGGACCATTCCTGCACCATGTAGAATGATAAATGGTATCCGTTTACTTTCAGACAATTGTTTCTCTTTATTGAGTGCTTAGCACTTAATAGTTAGGAAAACATGCATAAAACTTCGTGAAGCTCTGAACAAATTGAACAAATGACTGAACTCAAAATCAGCAGATGTCTTTCACAGGTACTTTTACACTTGTTACCTCAAATTCTTAGGGTGTTCCTTCTCAAGGATCAACCGTCACACTTTCTCATTAAAATCTTGCTAGAATCCTACATTGTCAACTGCCACGCATAGACAGTGAGCTAGTTAACAATTCTTTAATGCATTGCTTTCTTATTACCAAAAAGGCTGTTAGTAAAGCTTACCTTTTGCTGATAAGTATTTTACTTCCTTGCTAATGTTGGACCAGCTTTTTCTTCTTTCCACCTTTTTATTATTTTCATATTCATTTTTTATGTTTCTGCCTTAATACTCTAAGGTATTTCAAAAGATTTAAATTTTCTTAAAGGTGCACCTTTTTATAGGTGCAGTTTTTATCACCTCTGTATGCAGAATGAAGCACTGGTTCCAAGTCTTGTTGACCTTACTACTATTTATGTTGAGTTTAGCAAGATAAAAATCAGAGCATTTTTCCCCTAAAGTATTTTTTACTTCATGACTCTCTAAAACTATTGCTATGAAGTCAGAATAATAGTTGTGGTAATACTGCCACACAGTAAATGTCCACCTTGATATGGACATCTCAAGCTACTTGTTAAGTAGCTGTTTTGCTCCTTGCCTAACTGAATTCTCAGTAATAATTCCCATTAATTTCAAATGTTCTTTTAAGGAGAAGTTCTGTAGTGTTCCTGAATTATGTCTGTTACTGGTAGAAAGTGCCTTAAAGCAGTGTCCTACATACTCAGCTTTTGGAACTTCTGACTTGATAGTGTTTTTCCCTA